GACTGGCGTTGAGCGGCTCCAGGGATGGCATTGGACGAGAGCGGCCCGAGGGAGGTGACGAAGGAACGACCCGACGGGGGCGACGAAGAAGGAGAGAAAGCATCAGGAAGATGTCGTCCCCCGCGGGACGTCAGAGGAAGAGAGCGGACGCAGGAAGGGAAGGAGGAGCAAAGCAAGAATCGACCAACCATGACTCTCTTGGACAAGGCCGAAACACCACGCACACACACACACACACACATTTTTTCTCACCTGCAAGGGGCTGGAACGCTCACGCGGCCAAGCGCGCGTTCGATGATGCAATGCGCATCATCCTGTTGAGGCGGACAGTCACGCGGCGCAACAACTCGTCGGCAACCTAAACGCCACTGCCAATTTTTCCGGCGGCGGCGAAGGGGCCAACCCGCAGCGCTGAGCCTCCAGCCTGAATGTTGCAGCATGGTTGCGCCTCGTTGGAGGCACGCCGACAACAAAGCCCAATGCCGAACCGCAGCGTGGAAAAAAAACACGCTTAGCACGCAAACAACGACGGGCTAGAACCAAAATGGTTCGAACCCGCTGGGGTAAAAACTAAACAGCACGCGCGGCAACGCAAAATAACTAAAACTCGATCGAGGTTGAGGGCAGCAGCGGTGGCGGTAGTGGGCGGCGCCGTCGCCGAGCAAGGCAACGCGCTGCGGCAATGCCGCGCGCACAGCGCGCCCATCGCGAGGGCGCCAAATGGACGGGCACCCCGATCGATAACTGACACCTCGGGAAACCTACCGGATAGCACCGCGAAATGGCCCGCCGCAAAGGAGGGTTTCGAAGTCGGGTGACGGCGGGGGCGAGACAGAAAAGGATGGAGGATAGCTGACAGATTACGGAGCCGCCCACAGCAAAATCGGGAGGGAACGCTAGCGCCCAGCGCCAAAAAGCAAAAGGAATGGCAGCCGCAGAGAGAGGAGAGAGCTTTGGGTTGCACGGGGCCTGGCGGGAAGATTCCGTCAGGCATCAGCGGGGCTGGCGACTTCGCGCGAGCCAATCGGCGGCCAAATCCGCACACGCGCACGCGCACAAGCTAAGTGATTGCCGAAAGAGGTTCTGGCGCAAGGACTGGCGCCGCGAGGGGGCGGCGGGACACGCGAAGCGGAAAAAAAACGCACTAGCACAGGCAAGGGCGGGCGCCACGACCCCGCGAGCGAGATCCAGAGGGGCAGACAAGCATCCACAGGGGCATCGCGAAATCCAAAGGCATCCAGAGGGGGATCGCAAAACATTGACTCGGGCATTTGGGCCGTCTGCGTGCGTGCAGCACGCCGTTCTTAGACAAAACGTTGCACATTGATAACTTGTTTGTTGGGGGGCGGTGGCGGGGAACAATGTTCGCGACGCCCCGGGGCCTCCAGTTCCGTAAGAGACACGACTGGGAAGATGCAGTCGCTCACGTCGCGGATGTTGCCTTTAGGTTGGACGCAAGTGCGTGGCACCCCTGGAAGCAAAATGGATTCGCAGGGCCACGTGAGTGCTGCGGAGTCAGGGACCTCCACGAGCGGGAGAAGCCAATCTCTGTCCGTCGTCCCTGGGGGCACCGTCTTGCGGAACACGATATTGTTGCCTGCGCGCAAGAATGTGCACAACCATGCGTCGGACGCCTTCTCGATGCACTCCCCCTCTACGCAGTGCCGCATTAGTCTCAAGTCTGTTGCCTGCTGGGAGAGCGCCCCGTGGCCTGGCGAATGCCATTTCACAGTTTGTTCGTGCCCAGCCACGTCCCTCATGGCATCGATGCTGACGCTCCTGACGTGGCACTGGAACCATGGTCGGGTCGTTGGCGCAGCTCGGCCAATGGGAACGCCCACGTCCGTAGGAACAGAAGTCCACTGGTGCAGGCTGTCGATCACCCCGCTGCCCAACAAGTGTGAGAAGCACGACTTAGGGCTGACTACAAGATTGCTTTGCTGATCAACTTTGGCAGCCAAAGCTTTGAAGCAATCCTCCACGACCTTGCTGTTCAAAGGGCCGTCGAAACTATCCCATATGAACTGTTTCACCGCCTCCGTCGCGATCCAACCAGTGGATTTCAAGATCTCGACCAACTGTTCGTTGGCCACATCATTGAACAAAGAACGGTTGGCCACCTTCCGCGCGCCCTGCAAGGTATCTGACTTGGCACGGAATGCCTGGAACGCATCCCAATCTTGTTTAAAGCTGCGGACGCTGGATTCTGAAAACGTTGTGTCCTGAGCGGCCATCATGATGGCACGGCCAGGATACCCACGAAAAATGTAAGCGCCCCGCTTCAACCTGTTGCCAACCAGACCGAGGACCAACCAAGCCATGACATTGCTGAGGTGTTCTTCATCGCCCTCGATGTCTTCCCAAAAAGGCGGCGCCCAATCTGAATCCGAAGAGGGAATGAAGAAGCCGCACTCGGACAAGGACGCCTCGAAAGGGACGCATGGAAGGACGACAGGGCCTTATGCTATGAACACGTGGTGGTGGTGGGTAACAACAAGGAATCCGTGCATTTTCAGCGCCAGCTCCTACACTCGAACACGGATCTGTTCGGTTTCCCTTTGGGGGGGGGGGTGAGGAGGAGGGAGAAAGAGGAAGGAGAAGGAGGGAGGCGCCGAGGGAAGAGGAGGAGGAGGACAAGGAAGAGGAGGGAGGAGGGAGGAGGGAGGAAGGATGACGAGGGGGCACGAGGGAGGAGGAGGAAGATGACGAGGAGGACGGAGGAGGAGAAAGGAGGAAGACATTTGACAGTTTGGCCCTGAAGCTCTCCATCGGCCTGAAACGTCAAATTTGCGTGCACTGCGCCGAACCGTTGCGCGGATCCTTCCCTCCGAGAACAAAGAATTGGGGCAGCCCTCCTTCTTCCGGCCTTGTTCTTCCCCCCCTCAACGTCCTTTCGACTGGCAGTCGATTAGATCATGCTTCCTGCTGGGACAGGGGGTGCTGTTTTTAAAGGCCCCCCCCCGGATCACGCGCGCCCAGGTTCTAGCATGTTGCGCCCCGCGGGGCGGAAAAATCGCGCCCCCCCACCCCACCCGAGAAGGGCAGAACCCTATCTTCAAGTGGAGAGGCACTGATGCGAGGGTAACCCAGGGGAACACTGACACTTCACTGCAGAAGAACGTCCCGAGACGCCCAGACACTTCTAGGCAAGAGCATGGGGCCTTCAGCACGTTCGGCCAGAAACACGATCGACCCACGAACCCAGAAAGGAATATAGAAACGTAAGGCATGGCAACGTTTCAAAGACACTTGATTGGGCGACGGGCAAATGCAGTGTTGAATGTGCAGATCTTGATGTACTGTGCCGAGGGCTGTGCTGTGCTGGCCGTGCTGAATTGCGATGTGCCATGCCGCGATCGTGCTCTATATAGCGTTGTGGATCGACTCCTCCCTGGCATCCGAGTCCTGACCGAACTGATCTGGATCTTAAGCTCGAGCTGCCTGAGCAGATGGTAGCTGTCCCACAACTAATCGACAGAGGGGACGTGCCAGGAGGACGCGCCGCGGAGCGTCCCAAGGGACGCGCCATGCGGCGTGCCAGGGGACGTGCCATGTGCACGCACCGCGGGACGTGCCAAAGGGACGCGCTACGGGACGTGCCAACGGACGTGCCGCGGGACGTGCCGGAGGACGCGCCGCGCGACGTGCCAGGTGGACTCGCCAAGGAACGCGCCAAAAAAAGGCCAGGATGCAATGTTGAGTGTACCGATATTGATGTACCGTGCCGACGGCTGCGCTGTGCTGGCCGTGCTGAACTGCGGTGTGACATGCCGCGATCGTGCTCTATATAGCGTTGTGGATCGACTCCTCCCTGGCATCCGAGTCCTCACCGAACTGATCTGGAGCTTAAGCTCGAGCTGCCTGAGCAGATGGTAGCTGTCCCACAACTAATCGACAGGGGGACATGCCAGGAGGACGCGCCGCGGAACGCCCCAAGGGACGCGCCAGGCGACGTGCCAAGAAACGTGCCATGGGCACGCACCGCGGGACGTACCAAGGGGACGCGCTACGGAACGTGCCAATGGACGTGCACCGCGCGACGGGCCAGGGGGACTCGCCACGGGACACTCCGCGGAACGTGCCAGGCAACATGCCAAACTGCAATGTTGAATGTATCGATATTGATGTACCGTGCCGAGGGCTGTGCTGTGCCTGGGCGACCTGCACACGTGAAAACACGCGTTTCGCTCAAGACGCTCTCAGCACATCCTCACGCTAGACATCCGCCTGGGCAACCTGGACACGTGCAAACAAGCGTCTCGATCGAGACTTCCTCGACACATCCTCATGCTAGACATCCGCCTGGGCGACCTGGACACGTGAAAACAAGCCTTTGGCTCGAGAAATCCTCAACACATCCTAATGCTAGACATCTGTCTGGGCCACCTGGAGCCGTGAAACCAAGCGTTTCGCTCGAGACATCCTCAAGACCTGGGCACGTCAAAGCAAGCATTTCACTTGAGAGAACTCAGGTCACCAGGAGAGAACAATCTTTAACACAAAACAAGCGTTTCGTTCGAGACATCCTCAACAAATTCTAACAACAAGCACAAGCGTTTCGCTAGGGACATCCTCAAAGTTTAACTCGCTGGCCCTACGCGACCTTGTTAATTATCGCAGAAAAAAGCCCTACAGCCGTCAGATCCGGGGGCAAACAGCTCAAAGAGAACCCTGGGCCGAAGCCCTTTTCCGGGAAAAAGGCGGAGAGGATGAGGGCGGAGCCTGTCGGGAAAATAAAAAGATAGCGGGCCGCGATACACTGCAAGGAGGGCGCGGACGAATGGGTCCACGGCAGATTTGAAAGACAAAGGGTGCAACGCGTTTGCGCCCGTGGGGTCTCGAATGCCACGGCCGCCACTGACCCCTCGGGAGCGGGGGAAGGGCTGGTAAAGGCAATGGGGCCCGAGGGCAGGGAAACATGTTGATGTTCGTTGTATGTTCTGTTAAACTAAGTAAACTAATCCTCAGGCTGTTTGACCACACGATGATCGAGACGCCACTGGCGACGTGATCTGCCCAAACGCCTCGCTCGACAGAGCGTTGAACATTTTGGCCAGGCTGTCGCAAAACATCCCGCTGCACTGCATGAACAGGAACTTCGGGACCTTCCCGAATTCTCTGAGGTCCGTTACCTGCTGGGATTGCCATCGGAGGAGCTCGTTGCCAACCTGCGATATGATCCCGAGGCGCTTGATGTTCCCAGGGTCGCTCCAGAAGACCATCGCCAAAACCAACGGGTTCTTGCAGCTGGCTCGGAGCGTTTTCTCCTCGGCTGCCATTTTCTTGGATGTGGTGGCACCCCCAGCGGATTCCACGGTCGGAGAAAGCCCGCTGAAATGCACCTCGAGAAACTTTTTCCCGTGCAACAGGTCCATGTGAAGGCACGTCACAGTGTACGCTAATTCATACAAGGGGGCATGGCGCAGGTCAGCTTTGACGCGTTGCAAGGGGCCCAAAAACCTGCTCACCTCCAGCTTTGCATCTTTTTTGTGCCACGGGCAAGCAGCCGCCGTGCGGTTCCAAACCTCCATGAGGGGGTCTTTCATGGAGGTGATGACACCAGCGTCTGGCAAGGATTCCAAGATCCGAGGCGCAATCTTTTGGAACATCGGTGACGCGTGGGGGTCGCCGCTGGCGAAGTAGCTGTCCATTGTGGCCTTCACCTGCTGCCACTTGGCGCCACTGTTCCAGTCAGCACACGGGACGTTGGCTACGAGGACGAACGTCATCAAGAAGTAATGCAACCCAGCAGCGTCTAAAGCCAAGTCAAAATCGTTGTGGCAATCGTGGGACCAATCGAAACACACCCACGCGTTCAGGTGCAGGCGGTGCTTCATGGCGTTCAGTGCGCAGACACCGGACGACTCTCTGTCAGGAGAAATGGCAAGGCGCTTCCATGTCCAAGGATCCCCGCGCGCAGGGATGGGCTTGTCGTACTGGAACTGCGACAAGCCAGTTCCAGTGGACCACTCGATTTGCTTGTCTACCCGCGCCATCCAATGGAAGCTCGAAAGCCGTTGTATTTTCTTTGGTCTGTGTTCGGCTGGGTCGCTGTCCGCCTTCCTAGTCGCCCAGGCTCGCTCGCGAGCTTCGGCCTCCTTGAAGGCCTGCTCAGGGTCCTGCCCCAAGATCCACGCGAGCTCTGCGACTCCCGCGACGCTTGACTCGACCTGTCGGGCGGAACCGTCAGAAGGCCAACTCTGAGAATCCCGGCGGGACATGGGAAGTCGGATCGCCTGTGTACATATGTTTTTGTCGCAATGTATCGAACGATTGGTCCGTGGAACATATGTACACAGGCGGTTTGGGCACCCAAATCCTGGCGAAACTTCAAGGATTCACCGCTGGGACTCTGCGCGGGCGGATCGCTGGCGGGCCGCGGTATTCTCGAAGGGTCGCGGGCGCAGCGCGGGCGGGTCGCGGGAACTTCGCTGGCCCAGGGCCGCGGGCGGACGAGGTCGGGGGGAATGGGGTGGGGGGCCGGGGTCCGAACAGAGAGCCTCCCGCGAGTGCGACGCTAGCAGTTACCAAAATGGGGCCCCCCTGGCCAGAATTTCGGCCACGTTCGTAGGACAGACGTTTTCCATCATCGGACCCTGGCTCCATTCGGCCGCATTGGCGTCGACGGGAAAGGGTCGAGGGGGGGTTGGGGGGAAGTTGAGGAGGAGGGAGGAGGGACAGGAAGGGGCGAAGGGGGGCAGGGGAAGGAGCGGGGAGGAGGGAGTTGAGGGGGAAGGAGGAGGGAGGAGGAAGGAAAAGGGGAGGGAAGCGAACATCATACTCAGATTCCTTTTTTGTTTGTACAACCCTTTCGGACCAAGGGCGGTGAATACCACGCGGCGCGGCCCCCCACGGCGTGCACCGCCACGGAAAGCTTCGTCGCGCCGACAGAACTGCCATCTGGGCCTGCACGGGAAGCCCACTTCGAAGGACGCCGACGACTACTGGTTTTCATTTCCTGGCCCCGAGGACCCCCCGCAACCCAGAGTGGACGAGTAAAAACGTTCATACAATATGGGGGTGCTGCCCAGAGAACTCCTGCAACGAAGAAGAACTTGAAGCCCGCTTGCGCTCTACGGACGTTGCTTTGGCACTGGATCAGCCTGCTGTCGACTAGCCAGTCGGGGCACCGAACGCCGTTCAAGTCTTTTATTCTCATGGTCACCGCAGGCTCGACGTCACCAGAAATCATAAGGCACAAGGTACTGTCCAAGCGACGGCCGACGCCGTAGCACACCTACGGAAGATAAGAACTGCCCAGCGGAACCCCACGCCAGCAGACTTTCGCCCTCCCCCACCAGGCTGCTTGATTTGGATTTGCCTGGCGGGGGAACGCGCGCGGGCGGGCGGGTCGCGGGACGGTCGCCGGCCTTGGGGCCCTAGGCGGACGAGGTCGGGGGGGTCGGGCGGGGAGCGGAGGTCAGAACCAAAAACCTCCCGCGAGTGCGACGCAAGCATTTAGAAACAGGAGACCCCCCTGAACAGCATGTCGGCCAGGGGGGGCGTTAAATGTTCTATCGTTGGCCCCTGGGTTTCAAGCGAGCGCCTGCTGAAAGAACATCCGTTTTGAAGCAATGTCCGTCTGGAAGTGCATGGAAACAGCCTTAAGGAAATCAATCAGCGGACCGTCGGCACGGACATGCTGTCGAAGGACGTTCGCCCACTCGTTGGCTTGCCAGGAGCCCTCCCAGAAATCGACATCCAGAATGCCCTCGAGGTTGATGCGGCCCTGGTTGACTACGCAAGCAACGGGGTTTTGCCCGCGAGGGGGGACTAAACCGTCATCTTGCACTGAAGGGTCGAAGAAGAGCTGTAGTTCCCAGGCGCCCTCGAGCCCTTCGAGGATCGAATGGAGGATTTCAGCGGCTTTGTCCACGCCGCCACCCCTGCGCAATGCATAAAGCCCAGAGAACCACCTCATCAAGAGCGCGACGAGGCCTGCCGAGGAGCAACTTGGAAAAGACAAAATTCTGAGGCCCGTTGTGTCCACCTTGTCACTGTACGGCATCGACTTGATAAGATGGTTCGGAAACCCAACGCAATTCTCACTGACTTTCCCCCACCTCCTGAACTGATTCGCAACCCAAGTGCCCGCGTCATCCTTTGCGTTTTGACCCAAGGCCATCCCCTTATAGAGCGTGAGGAGATCCCAAAAGACTCTGATCCGATCCCGCGGCCGCTCGAAACAAACGGCTTTGAAATCGGTAGCGGTGGAGCCGCAACTGCCCAAACATAGCTCTACCACAATGGGTTGGCAATCCTTTTCCGCAGATTCCGCGGGAACTCTGGACAGCAATGCATTGGAACTAACACTTCGCCGTGCGATTATGATCTTGCCATCACCGTGCCGTCGATAGATCCGTGTCTGTAAGATGCTGTCTGGGTCGACGGAATCAATGATGTCCCCATCCAGATCAATTTTCCACACCCATGCCTCCCCGTTATTCTCCGACGGCCCTCGGGAGGGCCCACAGGCCGTGAAGACCGATTGTTCCGGAGGCACCCGCTGAGCTCGGATTGAGGCCCCTCGTGGTCAACTTTATGAAACGAACGTGCACTGCAGAAGATGCACGTCGAACATATAACGTCCTGAAGATGCGAGCGAGCGAAGAGCGATTTTCCTGGCGGCGGGCGCCGACAAATGCACACTGCATCATCGAACGTGTTAGTATCATGCTCTGGCGTGGTTGACGCCGAACGTATGGGCGTCTTCCTTGCACTCGCAACCCTGCGGGGTGGGGAGTAGAAGTTGCCCCTGTCTACTGGAAACGAAAGAACGCACGACCGCTCACTAGAACACGCATTCACGCGGAGCTGGCAAAAACCCACTCGCAGTTGATAGACGTCGCGGATCGCACGCGGGTCGCGGGCGGCGAATGGCGGAGCCTGAGAATCTTCGACCTTGAAAGAATGCTCGCCCACTGAGTCCGGTATGCGCTGTACCTCGCGAGATGTGCAATGGGCCAATACCCATACGCCAGAGAAGCTACATTTGCCAACGCGGATGGCGTCCACAGGAGTAGGCAGCCTGTCCGCTGTGCTCTCAGGTTCCCCCTGCACGTCGGGATGGGGCTGGGGGCCGCTCGAACTAGCAGCCATGCCCAGCCGCTCCCAGACCTTGCGGGGCCCGCCCCGCGGTCTGGGCCAAAAACTCAAGCGCCGTTGCTGAAGCGGCCGCAGCGGTCCCCATACAACCCCGAAAAACCAGAATTCGATGACCACTGGACCAATATTCGACAGAAAAGACAATGCGATACTGCGCGTGCCCCTAAAATGAGTGGCGACCTAAAGGGTCACCAGCGAACAAGCCCAACACTGCAATAGGCATCGCCACGAGCGTAGTCCTATATGAAATCGTATTCCAAAATTTCTGGCAAAGTAGTCGAGGAGATCCAGCGTTACGTGGACGAGAAGCCGCGAGGCGGCAATAGTGGCAGACCTCCCGCCCAGACAGGATTCAGGCGACCTCCGAGGCACTGTTCAACGGGATGCGCCGCCAGAGCTCGACACACCCCTCAATCGTTTCGCTCCCACCTCATGTGCAGGACAGACAGCGGATCTCCTGCGAGGGCCCCTGCAACGGGCCTGGCCAGTCCATGCAGGTATACATGTATTCGCGCCCCCGCCGACACTGCACTGCTCGGAGGCGGAGTATGATCACGCCAAGCATTCACTAACACCCACGTCACGCTGAGCATGCCTCAGCCGACCGAGACGAATGAACCCAGAACGCTGGCCGTGCGAACCCATGTGCAAAATGCAACGGCGGAGACCTGTCACTGGAAACAGCGAACGAAGAAGCGGAAGATGATCGACCCACGAACCCGGAAAGGCATATAGAAATGTAAGGCATGGCAACGTTTCAAAGACACTTGATTGGGCGACGGGCAAATGCAGTGCTGAATGTACAGATCTTGATGTACTGTGCCATCTGTGCTGTGCTGGCCGTGCTGAACTGCGATGTGCCATGCCGCGATTGTGCTCTACATAGCGTTGTGGATCGAGTCCCCCCTGGCATCCGAGTCCTGACCGAACTGATCTGGATCTTAAGCTCGAGCTGCCTGAGCAGATGGTAGCTGTCCCAGAACTAATCGACAGAGGGGACATGCCAGGAGGACGCGCCGCGGAACGTCCCAAAAGACGCGCTAGGCGGCGTGCCAGGGGACGTGCCATGTGCACGCACCGCGGTACGTGCCAAAGGGACGCGCTCCTGAGCGTGCCAATGGACGTACCACGGGACTTGCCAGGGGACGCGCCGCGCGACGTGCCAGGTGGACTCGCCAAGGAGCGCGCCAAAGAACATGCCAGGATGCAGTGTTGAATGTATCGATCTTGATGTACCGTGCCGACGGCTGCGCTGTGCTGGCCGTGCTCAACTGCGATGTGGCATGCCGCGACTGTGCTCTATATAGCGTTGTGGACCGAGTCCTCTTTGCATCCGAGTCCTGACCGAACTGATTGGATCTTAAGCTCGAGCTGCCTGAGCAGATGGTAGCTGCCCCAGAACTAATCGACAAGGGGACATGCCAGGAGGACGCGCCGCGGAACGTCCCAAGGGACGCGCCAAGCGGCGTGCCAGGGGACGTGCCATGTGCACGCACCGCGGGACGTGCCAAGGGGACGCGCTACGGAACGTGCCAATGGACGTGCACCGTGCCACTTTCCAAGGGGACTCGCCACGGGTCGCTCCGCGGAGCGTGCCAGGCAACACGCCAAGCTGCAATGCTCAAGGTATCGATATTGATGTACCGTGCCGAGGGCTGTGCTGTGCCTGGGCGACCTGGACACGTGAAAACACGCGTTTCGCTCAAGACGCTCTCAGCACATCCTCACGCTAGACATCCGCCTGGGCAACCTGGACACGTGCAAACAAGCGTCTCGATCGAGACTTCCTCGACGCATCCTCATGCTAGACATCCGCCTGGGCGACCTGGACACGTGAAAACACGCCTCTGGTTCGAGAAATCCTCAACGAATCCTCATGCTAGACATCTGTTTGGGCAACCTGGAGGCGTGAAGCCAAGCGTCTCGCTCGGGACATCCTCAAGACCTGGGCACGTGAAAGCAAGCATTTCGCTTGAGAGATCCTCTGAATTCAGGTCCCCAGGAGAGGACAATATAACACAAAACAAGCGTTTCGCTCGAGACATCCTCAACAAACTATGAAGAA